ACAGGCTCTGCAGAGAAGTTTGGGCCAAGTAAAAGTACAAAAGGAAGTATACTCCATACAGTGTACGGGTGAGCCATCTAAGGGAGAAAGAAGACAGTGGCAAAAACTCAACCTTTGATGTCTGTCTTGTGTCACCCTCTCCTCAGGCGGATGGCAGGTTTAGGCCATCCTATTGAAAACCTGCTGAGTTCTTCTGAGAGCCCTACATGCGGGTTTCTGGGATTTTGTAATTAACAGGTCATACCCACTTCCCAGCCAGCTTTGCCATTCCCTCATCTCCTGTCTCATTTTCCCCTTGAGAGTCACATATCCTCATAATTCTTTACGGGGTGCTGAGGAAGTGGAGGTCTCTGTCTTTATACTTTCTTCAGGCTGGAAGGGGCTGTAGGCTGGGGATTATATGCTCTCCAACTAACCTGGGGTGATGTGGCTCAGAAGATGGTGAAGAAAAAAAAGCCTGTCAGAAGATAATGAGAAAAGAGTTAGTGACTGTTAAGTTCTGGTGCCAGAATCATGGAAAGAATTAAGTTCATGAACCAAGGTACCCGTGTATTTTGTTTAAGGCAGTAGAGACAAAAAACTTTTTTTTAAAGAAAAAACCTTTAAAAATCCTAAGAATGAGGATGGTTTAACCATTGACTCATAGTCTCTTGAGGTAAGCTTTACTGACTGTTCTTTTTGTTTTGCTCAGGCCATCAAGCCTGTTTCTAAATTACCTGCATTTCGTTAGAAAAAGCATGGAAGGGATCTAGAAACAAATGTAATGGTGGCTGACCCAAAACAGCACCTACCCACATGATGAGACAAGATGGTGGCCTGACTAAGATAGCACCCTGAGAAAGAAACAGCTGTGGAGGTAAAAGTGTAGAGAATCTTTGAGACAAAGGGGAGTAAACTGGAGTAGGTGGCTACTTAGGCAGGCTGCTAAGTTATCAACAACTATTTCCCCCCCAAAGAATGAGAAAGCTGAGCAAAGTATCATGGAAAACAGAAACATTGAGGTTGAACCTCCTTGGGTCCAGGGACCTGGGCCCGTGGTAAGTGGCAACACAGTGAAAAGAGACACCAGAGACCAGGCTGATGGCGCAGATCCATTTTATTGCGGAAGTGCCAGGCATTTTATAGAGCAGGCTAGAGGCGTGGTTTGGAGGTGGTACTATTGGGGCGGGGGGGCGGTGCAGCAGTAAGAGGTCAGAGCGGGACAGCCTAGGCGGGGTGACTCACTTGGTCTGCCGAGGGACATGATGAGTCTAAGTCTGCTCAGACTCGCTCCTCTGCCACTGCCGTCAACCAGACCTCTGGACCCCTTTTTCCTGCAAAACATGAGTTCCAAAACGCATTTTAGAAACAAATAGACAAAGTGCTCCAAGGGCCTTGCCTGCACTCCTGCCTGGCTAAGTCAAATGTGTTACTGGATTTGGGGTGTTAGAGTCTCCTTTTGGAGGCAGTTTCTGGGTTCTTCTGTTTTGAACACAGAATTGATCAAGACAAGTGCAAACAGTAGGAAAGTTTTATTGGCAATGGGAGAAGAAACAGACTTTGCAGAAAAAGTTTGAGTCAAGTCAAATTAGGAAAAGAAATACACCTATACTGGGAGGGCAGGTAGGCCATCCATGTAAGAGATAACACAGTGGCAAATATTACTTTTATGATTGGAGAAATCACCCCATATTAACTTTATAATGTGATTTTTTTTATTGATTGAACATCTTAAATTTATGGGGTCTGGGAAGATAAAGAATTTAACCATGCACCACCCTATATATGGTGTTCAGTTTTGTATTTCAGACGCCGGTCACTCATTTTTTTTAAAAACTTAAAATAGAAATTAAAATACTGAGGTACATGCAAAATGAAATGATGTTTTGAGTTCAAATGGTACAGACTACTTCATCCAAATGTTAACTTTCGCTGGTAATTTTGTATGCTGGTAGTTTTGAATTAAATATTGGTTTTATTCTAGTAGATTAATGGTATATAGTATATTACTACTGCTACATTTCCCCCAAAATAAGACTGGGTCTTATATTAATTTTTGCTTCAAAAGACACAGTAGGACTTATTTTTAGGGGTTGTCTTTTTTTTGCATGTACAAATGTGTGCATTTATGCATGTATAAAAATCTACATTTATTCATGTACAGTAGTCTACATTTATTCAAATAGAGTCATGTCAACAGGCATGGTGGCACATGTCTGTAATCCCAACATTAGGGAGTCTGAGGCAGGAGAATTGCCCTGAGTTCAAGGCCAGCCTGAATTATATAGCAACACTCCATCTCAGAAGACAAAAACCAAAAATACAAAAAAAATCACGTCATCTCCTGGAACATGGTCATTACTCTTTGAAACCCCAAATTCCAGCCTGAATTTCTTGTGACTCCCATCTCCTGTAGAACCGTTGGCCCCAATCTCTCATGTCCAGCAATAACACTCTGCTTAACTGAGCACTTCTTGTCCATGTAGTCTCCTTGTAGTGCATTGGTAACACAGCTGTCAGTGATTTTATCCCATGGATTCTTCGCCCAAGTCACGACCTCTTGTGGGCTGGGCTTCACAGAGCTTCCATTAAATCAAGCATTAAGTGAAGACTTAGGAGACAGCAGTGGCAACAAAAATGATGACAGTTAAGAATGACGGGCCACACAAAAGGGACGAAAAATTACTGGCATCACAATTCAGAAAATGTTTCTTTATTTCACACGAATGCATTAAGTACATCCTTTACAACACAACATATTCAATTCTGAAGATTTGTATTAGACATAACCATGTCCATTTGTTACTGAGTGTACATATTATTCATGCCTGAGTCTATGCTCCATCTGCTCATTTGTCAGTACATCTCAAGTTCATCTGTGTACATAGGCATTTACCTCTCATCCAAAGACTCCCATGGGTATTTACAAATAATTATAATTTATATTATTTAAATAATTTATATTTAATTATATATCATTATTTTATAATTTAATATGTTTGCCATGTATCGTAACAGGCATACTAAATGCATCTGTCTGGCTGATGTTCTTACCTGGGACTTATTTTTGGGACAGTGCTCCTATTGTGAGCATCTTGAAAAATTATGGTAGGGCTTATTTTGTGGTTACATGGAAAGATGGTATGAACAGTACGGATAATTTGTAGGTGTATGAGATATATTGATATGATAACTTAGTAATTCTTTTGTATGTGTATTTTACCTAGTTCAATAATCCTTTTTTTGTTTTGTTTTTTGTTTTTTTCCGGTATCGGGAACTGAACTCACAACCGTGCGCTTGCCAGGCAGGCGCTGTGCTGCTGAGCTAAATCCCCAGCCCCCCCCCCCAGTAATCCTTTTTTAAAAAGAAAAAAACAAGACAGAATAAGTTTGCTAGCCACATTATAGAAGGTATATTTACAAAGCTAAAATCTCATGAGAAATTCTGCTGTCACGGAGGTCTTATAACAAAATGATTTCTAAATGCTTGATAGCTTGTGAAAATCTCAATATGATAATATAATATGAATCAGTTGTTTAAAATGGGAATTTAACCTAGAGTTTAAAATGCTTAAGATTTATTGAGTGGTTTCTGTGCACCAGACACTGAGCTGTGTATAACACTTTATATATATCACCTCATATGATCCAGTGAAACATAAGGTGTGAAATAGGAAATGAGTCCTATAGATACTGATATATATTTTATATACTGATATAACACTTATCAGTAAAACAAAGCACAGAGATTAATTTGCTAAGGGTCATATAGCTATTAAAATTTGAGCCTGGCCTTTCTTCTTCACATTTTACTATTCTGAATAATAAATGTGAATTTAAGGGCTGAATTAAACCAGAATTATTTAGTTGAATTAAGAGCCTGAGACCTAGTAACCTAGAATATAAGGTATCTTGGCTGAAAGTTGTGGGTTATGACTTAGTTCTCTGGTTTTTAGCCAAGGTTTGTTTGTTTGATTGATTGATTGATTCGTTCATTCATTCATTTATTTTGCTGTTTTGGGTATTGAATCCGGGGCACTCTGCCATTGAGCTATATTCCTACGCCTTTGTTTTTGTTTTTAAATTTTATTTTGAGATAGGGTCTCACAAAACTGTCCGGGCTAATCTTGAATTTAGGATCCTCCAGCCTCAGCCTCCCCTGTAGCTCAGGCTACCAGTGTGCACTACCATACTAGCTTCTTATTCTTTATGTACAGGCACTACAGTTGTGCTTTGTAGACCTGCCTGATCTTTCCTTTATCAGAGCAAAGAGGACTATATCTTGTGTATAGCGTACTTATCTCTATGTTGTGTGATGTGTTACCATTGCTCTTTGATACTGTAGCACTGCATTAGATAATGTTTATCAATGTGTAAAAGTGAATTTTTCAAATAGTTAAAAACCAGGGATTGGTGATATAACTCAATTTGTACAGTACTTGCTTAGCATATTTGAGGCCTTGGGTTCAACCCCAGTACCACAAAATAATAAACACAAGAAAAATCCCTGACCTAGCCAACCAACAAACGTGCTTTCTGAATGTATTTCTGCAGAAATGTAGAAAAAACTGGCAAAAGTCTGGCTAAAGTAATGCCATGTTAGTGAGCCTTAAAGAGTGACGTCATTAAGGCCCCTAAAAGTAGCTACAATAAATATTAGTAATGGGAAGCATTTTTATAAGACATAGTTGATTAAAACTTTGCTATAACTAATGCTAAGAGATTAGTGAAGTTTCTAAATGCTAATGTCATATTACATATTAAAAAATTTAGACTCAACATTACCATACCATTGTTTTCTAAAAATTTTAAGGTGTAGTTTAATTTTATGTACATGAAATGTGAAACAAAAATTGTCAAGTAGGAATTATACTTATGTAGCCAGTCTCCAAAAAAAGAATGGATCATATTCTGAAGAATTCAGTTAACTTGAAATCCCCCCTCTATAGAAACAGTATATTAAACATGTGCATGAAATCTGTACTTGACTCAGTAGCTGAAATAGAATTTTCTTTATCCAGCTATTTTAGAGCTAACTTGGAGCTGCAGAAGCAAGAGACCTTTTGGAGCCATCAAGTCCCCATTGTATATATTTGTGGCATATTCTACTTCCCTTGCATCTGATTTAATCTTTCATAGAATTGTGTGCCTTACCACCAAACTCTGAAGCATTTGCCATAGATAGCTGTATGATCACTTAATGGAAATCTGTAAGTCCTATAGGTCGTGTAAATGTGATTCTTAAAAATTTTTTTTTGTAATCTTGGTACTGGTAGGTCCTTTATGTTAAACAAGAAGTATCATGTACTTATCTGTGGCATAAGCATTGAGCCATACCTGATTGTAGTTTAGGTGCAAGCTACAACTTCTTTATATAACAAAGAAGTTTAAATAGGGAGGCCTCACAATGAGGAGAATTAAGTTTAACAGGAGATTCATTAAGAGTTTCCTAGGAAAATCATATGTTTGTGTAGTAACTTCCAAAGTTAAACATAGACTTCAGTCCAAGTAATTTGAAAGTAGGAAAATAAGAAAACTTGCTTTTATTACTTTAAGGATAGAGAATATGAAGATTGAATTAACTGTGAATTAGTTATTGAATTAGGTTTCCAGTGTCTTAAATTTTGACTTTATAACTAAGTTTTGAAAAAGCTTGCTTGTTCTGTAAAATTTATGTTGTTATGTGTTCATTTGAATCCATATATCATATTTTTGTTTCAAATAAAACAATTCATCTGGGCTTTTTAAAAATAGTATTATAACACTATTTTTAAAAAGACCTATTTATCTTTGTTTTTCCCTGGAATTTAACGTGTCACCTTCCATATAGAAGACCATGAATTGTTATATTTTGAATTAATTAATCTGTGGTGAAATGTATCCAGCTAGTTTTCTGATCCTTTGCAGTTGAATGGATTAAAAGAAAAAGTAGAAGGAGGGCTGAGGCAGAAGGATCACAAATTCAAGCCCAGACTGGTCAAGTTAGTATTTTTTAATTTCTCAAAATGAAAAAAATAAACAAAAAGACTGGGCATGTAGCTAAGTTTGAAGGTCTTGGATTCAATCTGCAGTACCCCAGGCGCACACACAAATCTAGAAAAAGAATAAATCAAAATATATTTAAAATTATCTTTTTCTCATAGAAACAATCATGTATCTGAAATGTGAAGAGCAGGTAACTCTTGAAGACTAGTGTCACCACTTAAAAAGTCAGATTTACTAAAATAATACTTATTAATGAGGTTATTGTTCATATTTGTAAAATAAGTTTTTTGGGTTTTTTTTTTTTTAAATACAATTTCACTATACTGTTCAGGCTGGCCTTGAGCTCCTGTATAGCCCAGACTGCCTTGAACTTGCAGTGGTCCTCCTGACTCAGACTCTTGAGTGCTGGGATTACAGGTATGTGCCTCCAGGCCCATCTCAAAAAGACATTTTTTTAAAATTATTTTTAAGTTAGTAATTTATTAGCTTTTCTTAAGTAGTAAGTGCTTGATACAACCCGTTTTATTTGTTAAGTTTGTATGTAGTCAGGAATGAATGTAATTATGTAAATGAATGTAAGTTATATAAAATGACTTACATGTCAAATATATTCAACTTAAAAATTGACCTTTTTAGAGGCAGAAAGGGTAAATTAAGTATATATACAGTTAATTTCATGAAATCTGCTCTAATGGTATATATCTTCATTTTATAGGAAGGAAAACTGAGGCATAACTTGCGACCTTGTCTAGTGTCACATGGTAAGTTTAAAGATCAGAATTCCATCCCAAGCGTTTCTTAATCCCAGTTTTCACATTTCAATATTTAGTGTTACTTAAAGTGACTCCAGAAATTTATTGATGTCATATGTCAGTACTTAGGTGACAATTTACAATCAGCTCTGCAACTTGATGGGTGACAACCTTTTTCAACCAAAAAAGTAAGTGTTGCAGCCACTACTCCTACTAGTATGTGTGGCTTTTGTATAACTTTGCTTCAGAAGAAGAGGTGGGGGATATTTTCTTAAACTACATTGTTGAAGTAACAAATGTTCTCATAAAAAAGTAAAGTAGAAATGAAGTGTTTTTTCCCTATTAGTACAGATGACTACTATTTATCAGTTTGGTATACATGTTTTGACCATAGAAAAAAGTTATTTCTAAAAAATTATGGCTCCTTAATTTTTTTTTTCTCAAGTATATATTCTGTATACTCTATTAGTTTGCTAGGGCTGCCATAACAATACCACAGACATGTTTTACACAATGGAAACTTATTTTTGCACAGTTCTTGAGGCTGGAAGGCAGAGATGAACCTATTTGTAGGGTTGATTTCTTCCAAGGGCGGTGAGGAGAGGTTTCCAGGCTTCTCTTTGGATGTAGATGGCCCTGCTCTTGAGTCTTCGTTCACATGGTCTTCCTTCCCTGCAAGTCTGCCCAAGTCTCTGTGTCTGTTAAGGATGCCAATCACTGGATTAGGCCACACTCTAGTAGCCAGATTTTTAACTTAATTATTTCTAAAGATCCTGTGTCTAAATACAGTCACAGTAAATGTTAGTGAGGATTAGGACTTCAACATAGGAATTTTGGGAAACACAGTATAGATTATGACATATATTATCTGGGTTCACCTAGTTCATAGATTATATGCTCAGGCTACTGCCCATCTAGTATATTGGGAAATGTACTACCAGTGAGTTGTTTGGTTGTGGACTTACAAGGTTAAGATATATGAAGACTAGTAGGCAGTTTTAGATCATAAATGTTAAATTTTGAATTGCATAATACAGTCACTGTATTTCAGAATTGAAACTAAAAATGTAATGTTTTATGTAAGGTTTAGGGAGGGGTGGGGAATTTATATTTTCTTTTTTCTTTTTTTTTTTCCAGTACTGGGCATCAAACTCACGACCTTGTGCTTACCAGGCAGGCACTGTGCCGCTGAACTAAATCCCCAGCCCCTATATTTTCTTGAGTATCTGCTTGTTTGGTTTGGTTTTTGTTTTCTTTTTTTTTTTTTCCTGTATTTTGGAGACAGGGTTGCGCGATGCAATTCAGGCTGGCCTTGAGCTCACTTGGTAGCCCAGGCTGGCCTCAAACTCACAACGATCCTCCTGCCTCAGCCTCCCAAGTGCTGGGAATACAGGCGTGCACCACCACGCCCAGCAAAGTTTTTTGTTTTTTTTGTTTTGTTTTTCTTCCAGTACCAGGAATCGAACTCACGACGTGGCACTTGCCAGGCAGGCACTTTGCCGCTGAGCTAAATCCCCAGCCCCTGGTTTGGTTTGTTGAGACAGAGTCTCACTGTATAGTTCAGGCTGGGCTTGAAGTCACAGGTAGTCCCCTTGCCTCAGCCCCCTGCTGGGATTAAAGATGTATGCCACCACACTCAGCTTGAGTATCTGCTTGAGGATGGATACTGTACATGGCATTTTGTTGAATGTATATAACACTTCATTTAGGCAAATACTGTAGGTAGGTTCAAGTAATTTGTTCACTTACACAATTAGCAACAGTGCAGTAAAGATTTGAACTAAGCCCATGCTCTGAACTAGACTGCTGAAGATAGTAAAGGTGAGAAGGAAGACTATGCTAGGAAGAAGTGTAAACAATAGCTTTGATGTACACAAAGAGGGTGATATTTCAAGTACTGTATTAAAATATACAAATACTAAACTTTGAATTGTCAGTAAAAATTAGTACTTTCAATGATCTGACTTAAAGAATTCTTGTCTAGTTTGTAAAACAGTACAGTTTAGAAAAGAAATGGATCACCGGGTAGGCTTGGTGGCATTCCTCAGATTGCCAATGGGAGGCCAGCCTGGGCTACATAGTGAGGTCAAGGCCAGCCTGAAGTACAAAGCAAAGACCCTGTCTCACGGGGGAAAGAAGAAGAAGAAGAAATGGATCAATTTGTGATGTTTATGACATTAGGGAAAATAGGAAGGTTTTTTTTTTTTTAATAGAGGGTAGACTAACATTTAAATATTAGGTCAGGAAATGATTTGTGATATAAAAGAATTTAAAAAAAATTCTAGAAGACTGGTAGTACATGTGGAACATGGGGGCTGAGGAAGCCAATCCCCTCCACCCATTTGAGCTTGAGCTGCACCGTAGGACCATTCTGTATAACCCCAGACCAAAGCATAGGCCTTCTTTCTCACCCTCAAGCCCAAACCCTGGTTTGTCTGCCTGCTGTACAGTGTGAATTTTCTATCATCCTAGGACCATTTCCCTGATCTTGGTCTCTAATAAATGTGGCTGCTTTCACCATTGTTGTACACTTTGTAATTATTTGCTTGTCCTACACAAGAGCTTAGAATATGATAACATGTATCTTTGTTACTTTCTTGTTACTGGGACAAAATATCTGACATCTACAAGTTAAAGGAGGAAAGGTTTATTTCAGCTCACAGTTCGTGGAGGTCTCAGTCCATAGGTGACTAGTTCCAAGACAGGGTGGCATGGCAGAGGGACATGGCAGAGGAGAACATTCTATGGTGTGGCAAGGTAAGAGGCAGCCTCCTTCCTCCTTCTTTCCCTTTTTGTTCCGTCCAGGCTACAAGCCTATTGGTTGGTGCCACCCACACCCAGGGTGGATTTTCCTGCCTCAGTAAATCCATCATCCACACACAGAGTAAGCTAAACCAATCAGTGGGCTAATCCAGTATCACCTACCACAATCCAGTCACTCCCCAAAGCCCCACCTATCAGCACAGTGAGGCTTTGTGTGGGACATCTAAATAGAAGCATTAACACACTGGCACCTAATTTGTTGAAATATTTCTTTTGTATGTTATTTCAAAGCATTATTTCAGTTAGTATCTTTTAAGATCATGGTAGAATATTATCCTAATTTTGAGTCAAGAGTAGAATTTGCAATACTTAGGTTAGTATAACAAAAAATTACCTTTAGAAATGATGAGTCAAAGATATTGTCTAAGATAGAACCCTGGAGGTTTTTTATTTCTGTTTTAGTCTATCTTACTTTTATGTCTGCTTAAGAACCACTAGTATCCATCAGCAGTGCATTTAGTTTCGGCACCCTGTACTATTTCTCTTCCTTCCTTACCCTTCTTCCTCCTGTTCTTCCTGCTTTTCCTCCTGCTTCTTCTCCATCACAACTTGAAGTAACATGTGCACATAAATTTTAAAAGTTAAACAATGGAAAGGGCTTTAAATAGGTAGTTTTAAATAGTTTCCTAAGGAGTTCTAATATGGCTGTGCGTGCCGTGTATTACATCATCATTTTTAACCACTTTCTTACAATGTTGTATCACTAAAGATGAATATATTACCTTTCTTCCTTTTTTTTTTTTTTTTTTTTAATGTTTCTGAGACAGGGTCTCCCTATGCGGTTCAGGCTGGTCTTGAACTCACAGTGATCCTCCTGCCTCAGCCTCCCAAGTGCTGGAATTACAGGCATGTGCCACCACGCCCAGCCTTATAATAGCTTTCTTAAAGCTACCTCCCCCCCCCCAAGTTATTCCTGATATAGTTATATTCATAATATAGTTCTCAATTTTTGGTTCAGTTTATATTTGATATTTTCATTATGATGACCAAAATAAAAACTCCATTATGGAGCATAGTATTTTGTGAATATTGTTAGCTAATGAACATATATATAGTAGCATACTAAGAGGATACCTCTCCTTTTTTTTTTTTTATTCTGCAATTAATTTTCACTTAGTAAGTTTTATTAAAATCTATACCATACTCTTCAGTATCATCTCCTCTCATTTTAGTTTTTCTACACAATAAAACCTGTCAGGTAATCTAAGTTTACTTTTTTTTTTTCCAGTGCCGAGGATTGAACCCAGGCCTCTCACATGCTAGACAACTTCCCTACCACTGAGCTGCATCTCTAGGCCTAAAAGTTTACTGTTGAATCTCTGCTCTCCTAGAGACACTCCCTCTAAAATACTTTTATCTGATCCCATTTCGGCTGGCTTTGCTCCAGGCCTACTGAATTTGTCCTGTTCTGGGACTTCATATTATGCATTTTATGTCTTCTTTGTTCATTAATTTTTATGTTTTGGTAAATTCTAGAGCAGCTTTCTAAGAAAGGGTACATATGAGATGTGTCTCATGTGACATTGCTGATCTTTATTTTTTTCTTCATATTTGATGAAAAATTTGGGTTTCTTAATTACTTTTTTGTGTTGCTGAGATAAAACCCAGCACCCGAGGTTGAGGGAGGAAAGGTTTATTTCAGCTCACAGTTTATAGAGGTTCCATTTATAGTCAGCTGGCTCCAAGGCAGGGTGGCACGGTAGCGGCATCACAGAGTAGTTCGTGGCAGGTAGGAGGCAGCGAAGCAGTGAATTAGTGAAGCAGCATCAGGAGCAGCCTGCCTCTCCCTTTTATCCCTTCCAGGCTACCGGCCCTATTGGTGGTTCTCCCCACACCCAGGCTAGGCTTCGCATTACCCACGCACAGAACTGTGCCAAACCAGTCAGTGGGCTACTTTAGTAATCATACACCTTAATCCCAGCCTCACACTCTAGAACCAGTTACTTCTGAAAAGCCTGCCCATGACCACATGAGGCTTTACTGGGACATGTAGACAGAAGCCATAACATTGGGTATAGGATTGTAGGTTGAAGATTAATATTGGTAAGATTCTTAATTTTTATTTTACTGTCTTGCAGTTTCTATGCTTTTGGTCTTTTGTATATGACCTATCTCTGCCCCTGCTTTGTCCCCTGTTATATCTTAGTGTGTTCTTTTTGTTTACTTTGTTCTAAAATTTGGTGATGTATGTCTTGGTGTAACTTTTAAAATCTTTATTACTGTGTTGGTGCTAGTGACCTATTTCAGCTTAGAGATGGATATTTTCTTCCATCTAGGAAATTCTCTTGCATTATATCTTTGATAATGTACCTCTATCTGTTTCTTCTATTCTTCTTCTGTAACTTTGTTGAATGTTGTACTTTTGAAATTAATTTTCTAACAATCTTGTGTTTTCTTTTTAGTTTATATATCTCTATTTTAGTCCCAGCTTTGAGGACTTTTTTTCAACTTAGCATTTGATTTTTCTAAAACTGCATTTAAAAGTTTTGGCTATCTTATTTTGGAATTTGCACTTTTTTCTGAATGTTACTTTTTATAATATTTATTCTTGTCTTATATCCTTAAATACATTTTCTCTTTCTTACCTGTGTATTTTTCTTCCTTAGAATACTTTCGTCTATCTTACTTTTTGATATTTTAATAGGAGATTTTTCTAAAGTTCCTCCTGCTTATTGGTTGTCCATCCATCTTTACGAGTGAGGCACTAACATGCTCCTTAGGAGTCCTGTATACTTTATCAGAATTTTTAAGATGTGGCACGTACTGTATGTATTGCTTTGATCATTTTGTTCAGGTAAGAAATATGTAACTTGCTCTAGTTGTGGTAACCCTCACTCATTTCCTGTGCTTTAGTCTTGTGCCTTATCCCTGCTTTACTGTGTACCTGGCGTTTCCGAATCTAGTTCATTAATTCTAATTTGTTTCCCACCTGTTCATTCTTAGGCTGCCTGCCTTTTGTTAAGACCTTTTCAAAAGATAATGACTAGGCATAATCTTTTTTGTAGAGATAATCATTGTAGTCACACATTGTAGATGTATGACTGAAACTCACTTGGACTGGATTGACTGTTCCCAAATGTTCCATCTACTGTAAATAACTACTGTCATCCATTATCTGTGTCCCTGTCTGTCATCTATGTGTGTATGTATTTACCTAGCTATCTAAATTTTACTAGTTTATATCTTGGTAAGGTCTGAGTTTCTTAGTGCTGCTACTATGACCTGTAAATATCAATTCAAATATTGGTGTTAGGATTATTCAGGTAGGACTTCAGTATCATACTATGTGTTACAAAAATAGTTTTGCTTTACTTTTTGAAACTGAGGTTTGCTTCTTTTCCTTTGAAAATTAGATAATTCAGAAATGGCAGAACTCTTCATGGAATGTGAAGAAGAAGAGCTAGAACCATGGCAGAAGAAAATAAAAGAAGTTGATGATGATGATGATGATGAGCCAATCTTTGTTGGGGAGATATCAAGTTCCAAACCAGCAATTTCAAGTAAGCATTTACTTTTTAAAAAGTCAAGTTTCATAAGGTATCATTTCTTTTTTTTTTTTTTTTTTTTTTTTTTTTGACACAGGGTCTCACTATGCAGTTCAGGCTGGTCTTAAACTCAATTTGTAGCACAGGCTGGCCTGGAACTCGCAACAGTCTTACTGCCTCAGCCTCCCAAGTGCTGGGATTACAGGCATGCGCCACCACGCCTGGCTAAAAGGTATCTCTTCTAATGGAAAACTTGTGAATTGTTATATATACTTGACATCCTTATTCAAAGAGTAAGAGATAAGAGACTGGGTGGCAGGCTAGTAAGAACTTGAGAGTCAGGATGGGGATATGACTGGGGACTTGAGAAAGGTGAGAGGTTAAATACCAGATGTGCACAAAGAGAAGTGGACTCAGATTAGTAAGTGTTCTTAGATTGGTGACATTGGAAGTTTTCTGATATTAGAAGATAAAAATTTTAGTAGTGTGGAGTAACCTCTTATCTGTTCATTTTTCTGTTTCTCACTTAAACATAGAAGTAGAGAAAAGGATTTGGAAGGTTCAGCTGAAAATTTTGGAATGTACTACATAAGTTTATGTTAGTTTCAGATGGAGTTCTTACACCCACACCTCTTTGCACTGTCACCCACACAAATACATCTCTACAGAATATATAGGCCATGAATGATGACACCGTCCCTGACCGTGTTCTAACGGGCTATAGCTTCTAACCATATCAGTCTTTTACCAACTTGTATTTCTGTTCATGAAAGAAAGGCATTGCCTACAGGTACTGTACTCTGATGATGTAGCAGTAAGTACAGTTTTGGTTTTTTCATAAGAGCCTGTTTTAGATTATTAGCTTTTAGTTAGAGTAATTTTCCTTGACATTGCTATATTGTTAAAGCAAAGATGTTGATATTTGTTAATATGCTCACTCAAAAATGTCTAAAGTCTAGAGGGAAAGTATTCAAATTTTAAGGAGAAAGAGAAAATAAATCCTTTTCCATATAATTTTAAGCCACGAGAATTTGCTAAAGAATGTTATATACCTAGGATATTAGTATTTTATTTATAATGGCAGTGATTAAAAGTATGATTATGAGACTAAAGTTTCTAAAAATTTTAGCCTTGTTCTTGCTCTTGTTGTTTATAAGCTTGGAATGGCATTTTTGTTCACTTTTATCACTGGGGGAGTAATTTAACCAATGGAATTTCAGTAGTGTTCCTATTTGGCAGACTCTTACTCTCATAGAATGCTAAGTGGAGTGAGCACCTCTTAGATTGTAAAATGAATTTGGCATGATGGCATACAAGTTGGTGATCATGGAGCATAAGATTGTGTTCTCTTAACTATTGTTTCGTAGTCACCGATTATCTTATCTTACATTGGAGAAGTGTAGAATTATTATTCAACATCCCTTATTGAAAATATGCACAGTACCCCCACAAAAAAGTCAGACAGTATGACAGTTAAGACTCAAGTTAAATTTATACTGATTAATATCATTCAATTAGAACAGTGTACATTAGTTTTAAAATAATTCTATCAGAAAGGGATTGACCTCTAGTAGGATTTCTTTTCTGAACTATTATGATGAGAAATTTAAATTATTTTATTGTTTTATGTGGAACCTATAACATGTTTAACATAAGGAGCATGAATTAAATGCTTGTATAGAACTGCCAGAAAGGAGGGTTAAAACTTGTGGTTTGTACGTTACAGTCGCTAAACATACTAAAGCAATAGTTCTTTAATGTACACTGAGTTTGAGTAAATACTAATACTGAATTACTGAATGAAAACTATGACAAATTGAGCATAGTTTTCTTCAGTAAGTGCTTAATTTTAGAGAATCTCATTCACATTATTTGAAAGGAAGTGTACTTTTATGTGAACCTTTACTTTATAGATTTAATGGGATCTAGTTCTTTTTAAAAAGTTTTTATTTTTATTAGTACATGTTTGTAGTACATAGTTTACGTTCATGATGGAGGATTGCATGTGGTGTCTAATTCTGTTCTACTATAAAGGAAAAAAATTTACAAAATTTGGAGTTTTTTGTTTTTTCATTTTTGCCGCTTTTAAACTTTTTCTTGTCCTCATTTTTCTGATTTTAGTTGGTTACTGAAAAAGCCAGAAATTACAGACGTCGTGAATGTGCAAGAGTGAAAACTTTAAGATAATACTTAAAATCATGTCAGGCTTGGATTGACTTCTGATGTAATTATAGATAGGACATTTCTTATAAGATACTGCAGTAAATTATAAGTTCAGTTTAGTCCTTAGCTGTAATAGTTTCCCTTTTGGAGCACAAAAGTAATGATAGATTAATGAGGTTTTCCAAATGAAACTTGAAGACATTTAGAGATATGAATGGAATATGGAAGTTCAGTAAGGCTATGATTTTGAGTGATAAGAACCCAAATGTTTGTATAGCCTGCCATCATTCAAAGAAAGCTTGAATTATAACTTGTATGTAAATAAATATATGTTTGGAAAATTTTTACTCATATGTGGGCTCTGTCATATATAATGTTTTGATGTTTCAAATTTATCATTTTTTTTGTGGCTTTGGCTTTTGAGTTATAATGACAAAGATGGTTCTGTGAAATACTTAAGGCTAATGTTTCTTTTGTTTTCTTACATAAAGATGTAAAATTAACTATTCTCAAGTTAGTGATAACTTATTTATTCCTTTTAGGTATATGTTTTTAATTCCTTTAGTATATATTTCATTCAGAACCTGAATTCTAATATATATGTGTAATTTTTTTTACAGATATTTTGAATAGAGTTAACCCTGGCTTGTATTCAAGAGGGATAAAGAATGGCGCACTCAGTCGAGGTACCATATTATTTACTACTTTAATTTTAAAATGAAGTATTTTGACAAAATTAGCTATTTAGAAGCATATTCAATATATTATATAATTTTAAAATACAGGTATTACAGCTGCATTCAAGCCTACAAGTCAACACTACACGAATTCAGCATCAAATCCAGTGTCTGCCTCGCCAGTAAATTTTCATCCTGAATCTAGATCTTCAAATAGCTCTGTTATTGTTCAGCCTTTTTCTAAATCTGTAAGTGTTTTTGAATCTATAGTCAGCTCAGATGTATATAGGCTATTATTTATCAATATAACAATACCTAGTTAAAATTTCAGACTGTCTCAGTCCTTTATTGGCATCATAATCAGGATCAGGTAATACCAACAGCTTTGTGATAGCTCAGCTAGTATCCAAAGAAATAACTGCAGAGCTGGGCCTTATGGCACATACTTATAACCCCAGCACTCAGGAGGATCATGAGTTTGAGCCCAGCCTAAGCCCAACTTAGTGAAACCCTGCCTCAAAAAATGAAGAAAGGGCTGGAAGTGTAGCTCAGTGTGAAGGAACTGAGTTCAAGTCCTAGTACTGCCTCCACAACCCCAAAACCAAGGAAGTAATAACTGTAAGAATTAAGTACCCAACCCGTGGGGCTGGGGATATAGCTCAGCTTCACAGTACCTGCCTGGCAAGTGTCAGATTCTGAGTTCTATTTCTAGTACCCCAAAACAAAACAAATAAAAAAGTACCTGACCTATTAACATGTTAGGTAATATGCTAAAATTGAATAGATACTATACTGAAAACTCTGCTGTCAAATCATAAATAAAAAAACCAGGAATATAGCCCAGTGGCACAACTCCTGCCTGGCAAGTGCAAGATCCTGAGTTCAATTCCTGGTACAAAAAAAAAAAAAAAGAATGAAACATATTATCAGTAGTGAATATTGCATAATGGCAGAATACGTAAGATTGCCAACTGGGCTAAGTGTTCTTTTTTTTTTTGAGACAGGGTCTCACTATATAGTTCAGGTTGACCTTGAACTCACTATGTAACCCAGGCTGGCCTCAAACTTGGGGTGATCCTCCTGCGTTAGCCTCCCAAGTGCTGAAATTACAGGTTTGTACTACCACAGCTGGCTCTGGGCCAAGTATTCTTAATTGGGAAAATTATTGAGAGGTAGTCATCCCTTTTTATTTTGAAAATACACCTTCATATTCTAGCTGAAAAACATGAATAAAAAGTATGAGATAATGCCAATAGTTATCATTTATTATGCTGTTTGTATAATGATTTGGGCTAATTGTTATATAAAAAATAATCTCATTTAATTCTCAAACATCCCTGTGAAATAGGTACCATTATTTCTATTTTATAATTAAAGTTATAGAGGTTAAATGATTCTCTTAAGATAGCTGGCAGATGTTGGATCTAGGATTTCAGTCTAAGCTAAACCAGAGTTCAGATGAATATACATGTGTACTTACAGATGCTGTCTACCAATGTGTATGTTTTAAAAATAAAGCTTTCCTTAGTTCAGCATTTCTGAAAGAGTGGGCTTTACCATTTGGGGCTCCCAGCCTTGTAGGAGTTTGGGAATCAGCACTATTAGCATTACAGTCAGATTGCCTTTCCCTGTGTGGACATTTACATTGATGATACACAATAACAGTGAGGGAGCTGCTGGCGCCTCACTGTGAATCAGATGGTGGCACCAGATGATAGCTTCTGTTAGTCGTCTGCCTTGCACTTACAGTTAAAAATGTTTCAGTTATGCACAATTCCAGTTATGCTCAATCAGTTTTGTTTTTATTTTATTTTATTTTATTGGTTTTTTTGAGACAGGGTCTTGCTATGCAGTTCAGGCTGGCCTTGAGCTCACTTTGTAGCCCAGGCTGGTCTCGAACTTGCAACGATCCTCCTGCCTCAGCCTTCCCGAGTGCTGGGATTATAGGCATGCACCCCCATGCCCTGCTCATTCAATGAAGTTTTAAAATATATTAAACATCAATTCATGTTACTAATATTGTTAGCCATACTGTTCAGTAAATCTTTAATATTTTGTGTGATGAACTGGATAGTATACATAAAACCCTTCTGTCGTAACTTTGGTGATTTTCTTGAAGAAAAGCACTTGTCTGATTGAATTTGTGAGCTAAACTGTTTGTAAAAAAAATTACCAATTTTACTTCAAGAATGACAAACCATGGTGTATTATTTATTTCTTTATGTCAATACTAACACAAACATATGACTAAAGTGCACACTTATTATCTCACAATCTTACATTTTCTGTGATCAGGCGTCATCATGGTTGGCAAGATTCTCTCTTTTAGGGTCTCACAGGCTGTGTACAAGGTGTGTCCCTGAAGTGCACTATCATCCAAAGTTCTGTGGGGAAATACCTGCTTCTAAGTTCACATGGCTTTTGGTAGCATTTAAGGCTTTAGGGATTGTCAGACTGCGAGTCTCAATATCTTGCTGGTTTTTGGTCTACTCTTCGCCAGGTGGGTCTTCTCAACATGGCTCCCTGACTTCTCAAAGGCAGCAAATGAGAGTCCTTTGCAAAATGTCTTTATAATCTTAGGTAACATAATCATGTACACAAAATCATATATATACTGTCACCTTTGCTGTATTCTGTTGCTGAGAAGCAAGCCAGAGGTTCTACCTACAACCAAAGGGAGGCTGTCTCAAAGGGTATGACTACTAAGAGGTGGGGGTGGTCGAGACCACATGAGAGTCTTCTTGCTGTGCAGTTATTCAGTCTGGAATGTTTGGCAGGCATTTCCTAAAAATTGAGCAAAATGCACCTGCCACTTCAAGGAAAACAACTGATACTAGTATTTTTGCTAGTGATAAAATTTCTGATTTCAAGGAAAAATTAAAATTTTGGAAAACCTGTCATGCTGATGTCCACAGCTTCTCAATATTTCAACACTGCTGATGGGTGGTTGTATTTAAAAATACAACTTTTGGTACTGTGTAATGAACTGTGCCAGCATTTGAAAGATCTGCTATTCAGTGAAACCAGTATTTTCTAGTTACTAATGTATATATTATAAAAGTATACATGGATATAAGACCTATTTATGGTATAAGATCAGTCATTCTATAGCAACAAAGAAAGGTACAAAAAAATTCAGGGATATAGTTTCAGAATCCCTGCTATAACAAACCTTTAAAAAAGTCCCAACTGTTGAGCTTTGGTATAGTATCACGATGTGAAACTGTGCCTCTCTTCACTATTTTTTTGTGCATGTTTGAAAGTCATTTTTTAATAAAAGCATTATTTATGCTAATCTGTAATGAGTTTATTGTTATTTAAAAATGAACTAGTAAATATTTAAAAATTTTCTTTTTAACTTATAGTAAGTAGCAATAGATACAACTAACAGAACAAAAACTCTTTTGGGGTTCAGTAATTTTTAAATGTGCAAAAGGGTCAACTTGAAGCCAGAGAGGTACCACTGGCTTTGAAAAATGGTAATGCATTCAAAGAAATCTTGGGTCCTGTGTGACTCCACAAAGCTGTTATTTTATAAAACCTTTAAAAATACAACAAATATTCTTCAACTGAGGTGGAAAGCTACTCGGAATGTAAAAATTGTTGGCTAACAGTTGAATTTAAATTAACTTACAGGTTTTCCATGCTTGTCAGAAGCTGTTTGGCATTTAGGAGAAACTAGAAAACTTGATTATTTAATGTAATTTGATAGATAAAAATCTTTCCAACGTTAAACTTGGGGAGGGGAAAATAACAAAAGCAAGGTGTGGAATCTTTGGTATTATAAAAGTTAGAAACTAGAGTATTTTCTGACTTAGAGTATTTTATTTTTGTGGGCATAGTTTTTAAATCAAAGCATTTTATTGGAGTTTCCCAATACTGAAGTTCTTTTAGAAAATAGGCATTTTAGCTGGTTGGTTTGGGTGGGGCCTGGTGAAGATACATTTTTAAAAATTCCTGGTAATCTATTTATTTATTTATTTATTTATTTTTGGTGCCAGGAATCAAACTCAGGAGCTTGTGCTTGCCAGGCAGGTGCTTGTGCCACCGAGCTGTATCCCTGGTCCAATTTGTGGTAAAGTTAAGATGACAGAGTAGTAACGTGTAGTGAATGGAAAAATCTTATTTAAGGGGCTTTTTTCCTGAAGTTTAGAAGCCACTGACTTTTTTTTTTTTTTTTTGCGGTACCAGGGATTGAACTCATGACCTTGCACTTGCCAGGCAGGTGCTTATGCCACTGAGCTATACCCCCCAGCCCGCCACTGACTTTAATAAATCACAGTTGTTCTCCATTTTATATCATGTTTTGTGTATGTTGTGTGTGTTTACTTTCTCATGGAAAATCTTTGTATTTCAACATTTCTTTCAAGTAGATTGGGTTGGAATCTATTATTGTTATTATTACTTAGAAAGTCAGTGTGATCTAGCCTAAGTGCATGAGCTTTATAATCAGTCCTGGGTTCTAATTTCAGCTCTATCAATAAAGTAGTTCTTTATTGGCAATCCTCTTTAATTACATCTACCCTGAACTACTTACAAATCGAGATATCCAGATATGGTGGCGCATGCCTATAATTGCAGCACTCAGGAGGCTGAGGCAATAGGATCACTGAGTTGAAGGCCAGTGTGGACTACATAGTGAGCTGAACACCAGCCTAAAATACATAGTGAGACCCTTCCTCTCAAAAAAAAAAAAAAAAAACTCAAAACAACAAGCAACAGATACTATCTGAATCCCAGTAAAGTGCTTACTGTACCACACTTGTATTTAACATTTTTCTGTACTTCTTTAGAGACTTTAAAAGTTCCTTATTGGGGAATTATTTTAGGTAGTTATTCGTTGGATAATGAATTACCTGCTATCTGAAGTTGTGGTAATTAACTATCCAGAGTTTTCTAGGAAAAATTTTAACAGTGTTAACTTTATTATGCTTCTGTAAAGGAGCTACTTTAAAAAATACAATGCATATTTTCCATATTTTAAAAGTACAAATACTTAGAGAAAATATTTACCTTGAACTAAGATTGTATTTCGTTGCTGTTAAGTCATATGGCATTATTATTTATTTGGTTGTTTGAGACAGGGGTATACTGTGTAGTTCAGGTTGGCCTTGAACTCATTATGTAGCTCAGACTGGCCTCAAATTTACAACAATCCTCCTGCCTCAGCCTCCCAAGCTCTGGGATTGCAGGCTTGTACTGCCATGCCTGGCTGGGTCATAATGCCGTTACTTTTTTTTTTCATGCT